ACCCCTCTCTCTCAAGGGAAAACTGCAGCAGGTCGAGGACGGGGGAGATGTTGTGGCGTCGCATGATCCTTACACTGCTCCATCGCGTCGAATGCGATTTCGCAATACAGGCAACGGTATTCGTTCGGAGGCATGAGTGGCCATCGGAAAGAAGTTCGCCCCATTCTACATACTTGACTGCCCCATGCTGCGCATGCATGTTGACGGGGGCTGTCTTTCGTAGAGACTGCTTGTTTACGCCATGGACACATGTTGCAATTAACACATGTGAATAGTGGGTTACGTCGGCCGTGTTCCCCCTCCCCCGCGCGAATTATACATGTGTGACGTGAGGGATCCGTGCGAAGAGAATGTCTGTGAGCACCAAATTCCGCGCTCGTCCTTCAGCGCGCGCACAAAGGCGGTGAGACTCTCCTCCGTCTCGGGCCCCATAGCTCGATCAGGCCCTCGAAGGCGGCGGAAAAAAGCGGCCTCTCCCTCCGTAAGGTTGGCAGCTTTCAAAATCGACGCGGGCACTGCGAGGAATGCGTCCCTCACTTCGCCGTTGTGAAAAAATGCGATATATGAGTAATCCTACTCCTCCCACCTTTCGTAAAAATTCTTCTATCCCACTAATACCAGCAAGAATCCATATCCATCTCTACTTGGTGCGCCAGCGGTGGGGCTTGCCGAGCGAGGTGTCCACGGGAGTCCAGGGCGGGCGGGCCGTGCCCCAGGGTTCCCCAGAGGACCGCGATGGCTTGGGCGTGAGCCTTGGGATCTCGGGCCATCCTCTGCACCCAGGTGAACCGTCGAGAAGCTTGTGCGCACCTAGTAAAGATGACCTTCCACTTTCTTCGGAGAGCAGCACGTGGCAAACTCGTGGGATGTGCCCCCGTCCAGTCGGTGGCTTTCCCTCTCTCGAGATTGCGCAAATACTTGGCCACAATGCTATCCATCTGGTCGGCCATCTTTGCAGTGAAACAGCATGGCTCGTTTGCAGACAAGCCCGCTTCGATAACATGCCCTTGAAATGCCAGGATCTTAAGCTTATTTGAAATCCTGCTACTCCACAACCACCCCACGTTTGCCCATCCCGTTTTCATCGCGGAGCATCGATACTGGAGCTCTTCCATAGTAGCGAGATTCCAAGCGCGGCGGCCTCCAAGATAGCGGGCTCTAGCTAGCGTCTCCCCCTCCGCGGCGAGTTCCCCGAATCGTTTTGTTTGTTTTGGGGGCGAGCGTGAAAACTAGGAACGATCTCCCTCTTCCCCTCATTCTGCAGTAGTCCTACTTCTTGGAGGGCGGCATCAAGATGCATATCACTCTGGTTCGTGAGGAGGTTGGCCTCTCCAGCCTCTCCTGTTGGCACTGGTAGTTTACCAACGATATCATCTGCAAGTACTGCGACTCCTCCGTCGAGCTCCCTCGCGAAGATGCCACATTTCAAAGTAAGAGTGAGATGGGGGGGGGGGTGGGGGGGGGGGGGGGGGGCGACGTCATCTCCGCATCTCAAGAGGCCGTTGCATGATCATCGCGAATACCACTGGCTCTTCACTCGATCCCATCAATCCTCAGCATCCGTGTCGTACTACTAGGTTCTGTTGTTCCTTCCATGGCCCCTCCCCTCATTCCACGAATCTCAAGAAGATAGCCGCACCAGCGTCGCGATGGTGAAAAAATACATCCTGCTCTCGAACTAACTCCTACACTGCCTGCTGCCTTGCCTGCGGGGTCGTAGAGGCAAGCGCGTTCGACGTGGCGTGGAGGTTATTGAGGTGGCTAATCTTCCTGCGGCGAAGGCGGGCTCCAATGCTAAGTTGGACGGCGAGGGCATCCTCGCGCCGTCGCCCCGGTAACCATCCATGAAGCTCTGCAGGCCAATACGGGGCTCGTGTAATCAATCCCCGTCTCAATAAAGTGCCGCACAATCCCTTCCAGTACGGGCAGAAAACATGGATAAGTAGTTTTCCTCCTGGCCCCTGTGTCCCATTTGACTTGTTCAGCGGATAGCCCCTGGATAAGCGTCCAAGCTTAGGGGTGCGTTTCAGGGCCCGAGACCACCAATGAATAGCACTGAGGCGTTCACTGGCAATAGATGGGGGTAGGTCACCTACGCGTTCAGCACCGAGCCCGAGTCTCGGTTCATCCCCTCTTGAAACATAGCTGGCGTCGGCCGCCATCAAAAAGATCTCCGAGGGTAGACTCCACGGGGGGGGCCGCTCGTCGCTCAGGTCGTTTCTTGAGGAGCTTGAGCGTCTGATTCATATCCCCTTCGGCCCAGAACCAATATGCATCTCGTTGTTCGGGGGCGAGGTCGTCGGGGGAGGTCGAGGAGGGCTCAAACTCCGCAGCGAAGTCGATCGGCATTGCATTCATGCCACCTTCCTGCGGGCTTCCCTCCAGGAAGCGAAGCCGCTCGTCTTTGGCAGACTGTGGCTGTGGTACTCCATACCTGCGTTTGCGAGGGCCTCCACAGCGCTCTGCAAGCAGAAAGAAAAAGGCGATGCACTTCAGCGACTCGTCGAAGTCGAGCGGCTTCGTGAGTTGCATGTTCGATCCGTCGTCTTCGGTCGGCACGCTCCTGTCGCATCATTCGCAGCAATTCAAGTCGGATCTCTTGAAGTTCGTTGTGTTCGGGGAATTCGATCGAGTTATATCTCAATAGTTCGGCGTATTCGTCTCCCTGTTCTCCCAGTCTCTCTCGGGCCTCAGCTCGCAGTCGTACCAACTCGTCACGTCTGGCTCGCATTCGGCTAACCTGTGGGTGGGCCCCCTTCGGCGTGGCCTGGAAAAAAGACTGCGCCACGTCTCGAACGAGCGTGGTCCAGCAATTCCAGTAGGCGTCTAGATCTCCGCTGCTGTTGCGGCGGTCTAGCTCCTGGCATTCCCGAAACTTACTTTCCAAGGCCTCATGGAACTCGATGCGATCGTTCGAGCGATTTTGTCCCTATCCCACTTCAGCTTTTTTGTCTCCGAGGTGGCCCTATGCTGGTAGGCCGTGAACTCCAGGATGATCGGGACATGGTTCCCGGGACGGGCGTCGGGAATGAGCTGCAGCCGTCTAGCCGCTTTCCAAGGGATCACGCATCTCCGAATCTGTTCCTGAATGCCGATGGGGAGCAGGATGTGGTCCACCGTGCTAGTGGCCCCTTCGAGGCCGTAGAAGGTCGGGCCCGCCTGGGGGTAGAAGGAGCCTACGTCCATGAAGTCCTGAGTCACTATTAGTTCGCCCCAAAGAATGTCTCCGATGGGGTTTTGGTTGCTCAGATGATACTCACCAACATTCGGGATCTGACCAGTACGTCCAGGACTCGGGGTGCCCAGAGAGATCGGTAGTCCGTTGCGGTACCCGAAGCCGGTATTGAAGTCCCCCATCACGACTGGGGTGGAACAAGTCGGCGTTTTTTGTGTACGATCAATCATCCATCGGGCGAGCTCCTTCGAGCTCTTCTCTATGGCCTTCCTTTTTTGCATTCTCGTCTCTGATCGGCGGCAGATATGCGAAGATGATGGTCAGGTCGGTGGAACCCTTGACCAGTCGGACGGCTAACCCGCGCCCCTGGGACCTCGTAGGGGGGGGTGAATCTCACGTACGTGTTTGCGTTTGAATCTCTTACCAATCATAATCATGCATCCTGCAGCTCGATTGCTGAATGGTGCGCATGTCCATCCTGCCGCAATCGAAAAACCTCTGTCTACTGCTGCTTCCTGGACAGGTCGATCCGCTGGAGCTCGGAGTCGGGTGCCAGGCAGCGCGACGATATCCACAGTCAGTTCTCTCCATACCTGTTGAACTCTGCCAAGCGAAAGAGGGCTGTACAGCGCAAGTCGCACGAAAGAAGAAACCATGGGCCCCAGAGGGCGAGCGCGGCCCCTGGTTCCTCGCCCCGAGAAGCTCTGGGTGGGCCCAGCATATCACAAAGAGTGCAAAGTCATGGTACAGTGTGTGTATGCCGCGCGGGGGGAAGGTGATTCCTGAAACGGCTGAGGAGGAGGAGGAGGGAGGAGGAGGAGGAGGGAGGAGGAGGAGGAGGAGGAGGAGGAGGAGGAGGAGGAGAGAGGAGGAGGAGGAGGAGGAGAGGAGGAGGAGGAGAGAGGAGGAGGAGGAGGAGGAGGAGGAGGAGGAGGAGGAGGAGGAGGTGGAGAGGCCGAAGCACCCAGGAGAGCCCCCCCGCCCCCGCCCCCACGCAGCCGACGCCGCCAGCAGCAGAGGCGCCGCCGCGGCGCCGCGGGGAGCGGCGCGCCGCCGGGACGCCGGGGCGGCCACGCCTGCGGGGCGACGGGGGGCCCAGGCGGAGGGAGGACGAGGAGGAAAAAGAGGAGGAGGAGGAGGGGGAGGAAGAGGAGGAGGGCGGAGGAGGAGGGTGGAGGAGGAGGGAAAACGAGGAGGAGGAAGAGGAGGAGGAGGGATGAGGAGGAGGAGCCTCCTCCTTCTCTTTGCTTCAACCAGCCCTTCCTCCATTTTTCCCCTGCGCCTCTGGCACTATTGTCATTCATGCGCATCACCGCTGTTGCCGGGGAAGATCGGGAGAATGAGGAATAGGGGGCAGTGTTGGATGAAGAGCAAAGATGAGTTTGTTGACTTTCCATCGCCCGCCCTCTTCCCATTTCCACATGCTGACGCGGCTGTCACCTACGGAACAGGAAACACCCAGTGCAACTTTCAAAGGAAGTCGAGAAGGATATTGACGACGACGATAACGACACATAGGAGGAAGAGCTAGGAGGAGGAGGAGGAGGAAGAGGAAACTGAAGAGGAGGGGCCAGTGAGAGCAAATACTGTGATAAGTCTGGATCCTGCTGGCACCATATTTTGCTGAGCAAGAGGAGGGGGAGGAGCAATAGTTTGATAATTCGTATAGCACGGTCAATGCGGCACGTAAATTCTCAACGATTCGAAGTCCATGCACGAATATTAGATCACACGATCAGAACGCCTCTCTAACACACCCTTCCCATGCAAATAAAACAATTATCAAATGGTGCCCTCAATGTGCCGTGCGATCGGCGAACACACCCTACTCCTGCGTGCGAAGCCATCCTAGGCCACGTCGACCTCCACCGAAGGTCTCCATTCGGACCATCAGGCTGCGGCCCTGGAAATCAATCCCGTTTAGGCTGTCGATCGCGCCCTGCGCCTCGTCCTCAATCTCGTACAGAGCCGTGGCGTAACCTTTCGACCTCCCGTCCGGGCCCTCCGCGATGTCGACGCGGATCACCCGCCCGCTCTCCTTGAAGACATCTTTGAAGTCCTGCCAGGCGGTGCGGAACGGCAGGCTCCCCACGTACAGGAGCCGCCCCTCGTCGTCTGGGTTCTTGCCCTGCCCCTTGCCCTTGCCCTTGCCCTTCCCCTTGCCCCTGTCGTAGCCCCGGCACGCGGCAGAAATAATGATGAAAAGGAAACTCGCGCGCTTCGCGTGCGTCCGTCGACCGAGATTGCTAAATCAGGGCAATGGCGCGGCGACGACCGCGTTTGTCTCCACCAATCAATAATTCAAAAAAAATGCGAAACAAATTTGTCGAGGCCCTGGTTTTGCTTCCTGGCGGGGGAGGGACCCGACCCTTCCCCTTGGAGCTGCCCCTGTCCTCCCTGACAGAGATGGGGCGCGCGCCGAAGTTGGAGTCGTGGAGGGTGGCGATGGCGTTCTCGGCGACCTCCGGGGTCGAAGGATTGCAAACAAAAAAAACCTGGGATTGCAAAAAAAACCCTAAGTTGTTTTTGCAATCCTGCCTCCGTTTTTTGTTGCAATTCTTTGTTTTTGTTGCAATCCTTCGTTCGTTTTGTTGTTGCAATCAATCCTTCGTACTCGACGATCCCGGCGCCCTTCGAGCGGCCGTCGTCCTGCTCGAAGACTTCTGCGCGGACCACGTGGCCGGCCGACGCCATGTGGCTCTGCAGCTCCTGGCTGGAGATCTTCCAGTCGAGGCTGCCGGCGTACACGCGGCAGCTCTGGCTGTCGGCCATGGCAGCGCTGGTCTGATCGATGTGGACGTGCAGGTCCCTGGCCGAAGCGGCCCAAACAAAAACGTCTTGACTCACACCACATTGAGCCAAAACGGCTGGGAAAGATCAAAGCTCGCCTTTTCGTCTCCACTGCTCCTCGTGCAGTTCCGCACGCCGCTTTTGTTCGCTGCCTCGATCGTCGGAACCGGACTCGATCGTGATGCACGCGCAATGGATATTGAGGCCTCGTTCCGTTGTCCAAACTGGGGGCTCGTTGCGGCCGAACTGGCCTTGGATTGCGTCTCGAGCTTGGCCGCGCCAGTGCGCACTTGAATCGTAGCTAGTCTGCACTGTGCTTTTGACAACACGCCGCACAGCAGAACCACTCGGACGGTTCGGGCTTCTGCGCACTGCACCGTCCTCGGCAAGACTGACCGTGGTCAAGAATGATTTCTGGTGCGTTACTTTTTGAGGGGGACGGGGGGGGGCAAACCCAGGTGGGCAAGCCGCTGCTACCGCATCGCATTTAGCGATCGGGGGACGCTAGTGGGCCCGCATCAAAGGTCACTCCGGCGAAGGGTCACTCTTACGGGAAGACGACTCGGCCTCCAAAAGAGAAGGAATACATAATACGAACACACACAAACACACACAAGTGTCGGTCTGCCAGCCCTGCTGCCTGTCCCTGAGCGCAAGACGCAGCGGAGGGGGACCAAGGCTGAGGAAGGAGGCCAAGGCCCCCCCAGCCCTCAAATCCATGAGCCACAGAGACGCGCAACACACACACACACACACACACACGCACGCACGCACGCACGCACACACGCACACACACAACACACACACACACACGCACACACACACACGGCGGGGTAAGCCCCAATCTGTGGATTCCATAAATGTTCGCACGCGTTCCAAGCCTGCCCTCTCCTTTTTTGTTGTTATCTCTCTTTATGTATTTATCTCTTTCTTTCTCTCTTTCTCTCTCTCTCTCTCTCTCTCTCTTTCTTTTTCCCAACCAACCTGTGTTGTTGGGTCCTCCTTTTGAAGAGACGGTCCCCGCGTTCCTCTCCTCCTCTCCTCCTCCCCTCCTCCCTCCTCCTTCCTCCGTTTCCTCCTTGCGTTTCACCCACCCACTACACCGCTTCGTGGCCCCAAAGGGAGCTCCACCGAAGGTTCCAAGTCTACCGTCCGCATACGTCCCCCCCACCCAGTACACCGTTTCGTGGCCCTCCTCCCCCTCCTCCTTGCGTTTCACCCACCCAGTACACCGCTTCGTGGCCCCATAGGGAGCTCCACCGAAGGTTCCAGGTCTACCGTCCGCATGCGTCCCCCCCACCCAGTACAGCGTTTCGTGGCCCTCCTCCCCCTCCTCCTTGCGTTTCACCCACCCAGTACAACGTTTCGTGGCCCCATAAGAGGCTCCACCGAAGGTTCCAAGTCTACCGTCCGCATGCGTCCCCCCCACCCAGTACAGCGTTTCGTGGCCCTCCTCCCCCTCCTCCCTGCGTTTCACCCACCCAGTACACCGTTTCGTGGCCCCATAGGGAGCTCCACCGAAGGTTCCAAGTCTACCGTCCGCATACGTCCCCCCACCCAGTACAGCGTTTCGTGGCCCTCCTCCCCCTCCTCCTTGCGTTTCACCCACCCAGTACACGTTTCGTGACCCCACATCCACCGAAGGTTCCAAATCTACCGTCCGCATGCGCCCCCCCACCCAGTACAGCGTTTCGTGGCCCTCCTCCCCTCCTCCTGCGTTTCACCCACCCAGTACAACTTCGTGGCCCCATAGGAACTCCACCGAAGGTTCAAGGTCTACCGTCCGCATGCGCCCCCCCACCCAGTACAGCGTTTCGTGGCCCTCCTCCCCTCCTCCCTGGTCTTCACCCACCCAGTACAACGTTTCGTGGCCCCAGAAGAAGCTCCACCGAAGGTTCCAAATCTACCGTCCGCATGCGCCCCCCCACCCAGTACAGCGTTTCGTGGCCTTCCTCCCCCTCCTCCTTGCGTCTCACCTACCCGGTACACCGTTTCGTGGCCCCATAGGGAGCTCCACCGAAGGTTCCAGGTCTACCGTCCGCATACGTCCCCCCCACCCAGTAGAGCGTTTCGTGGCCCTCCTCCCCCTGCTCCCTGCGTTTCACCCACTCAATACACTGTTTCGTGGCCCCATACAGGGCTCCACCGAAGGTTCCAGGTCTACCGTCCGCATGCGTCCCCCCCACCCAATACATCGTTTCGTGGCCTTCCTCCCCATCCTCTTTGCGTTTTACCCACCCGGTACACCGCTTCGTGGCCCCATACGGAACTCCACCGAAGGTCCCACTGGCACCGCCCGCATGCGCGGGCCACGGCCCAGCACAGCCCTTTGCTCCCTGCGTTTCACCCACCCAGTACACCGCGCCGTGGCCCCATAGGGAGCTCCACCAGAGGTCACAGTGGCACCGCCCGCATGCGTCAGCCACCACCCAACACAGCCCTTGATCCATGCGTTTCACCCACCCAGTACAACGCTTCGTGGCCCCATAGGGGGCTCCAGCGAAGGTCCCACTGGCATCGCCCGCGTGCGTCCGCCACCACCCAGCACAGCCCTTGCTCCCTGCGCTTCACCCACCCAGTGCAGCGTTCCGTGGCCCCATAGGGAGCTCCACCGAAAGTCTCAGTGGCACCGCCCGCATGCGTCAGCCACCACCCAGCACAGCCCTTGCTCCCTGCGTTTCACCCACCCAGTACAGCGTTTCGTGGCCCCATAGGGAGCTCCATCGAAGGTCCCAGTGGCACCGCCCGCATGCGTCAGCCACCACCCAGCACAGCCCTTGCTCCCTGCGTTTCACCCACCCAGTACAGCGTTTCGTGGCCCCATAGGGAGCGCCACCGAAGAAGAAATTCATGATTGCAGTATTCACAACTGCATATGGTTGGGTCTTTCGTCAGGCTAATTATCTTCCCCCTCTCACTCTCTCTCTCTCTCTCTGAGTGAGAGGGGCCGAACGGTCATTCACTGTCCAAGGGTGCGTGGCTGAAGGCGGGCTCCGCGGTGCGAATTGTTGTTGTTGTTGCTGTTGTTGTTGTTGTCGTCGTCGTCGTTGTTGTTGTTGTTCTCGCACCCTCGTAGAATTATTATTGTTGATCCCCGTCCACCGGTGCACCTTCTGTTTTGCAATTGAGGTGCCACCCTCGGGGCTCAAGCCCTGTTTGTAATCACAAGAATCTTCATACTCAAACTGCGTTGTTGCCCTCCCGCCTACAACATCAACGGTCCCCGCCTGATACTTCCTCACCATGTATTCATAAATCGTGTTCTCCCGCAGGAATTCCTTATCATGAATGCAGAAATCGCGCTCTCGCGGCGGATTTCCTCGCAATAGATTCAGACGCCATGCCCTTGACACTCAGGAATCACGCTCTCGCTTTGCCTCGATCCACGATATAATTTGGAATCGCGCTATCACCTGGAACTGCCCCACGAGTCATGCAGGACTCACGTTTCAGCGACCCACCTGCTCGACCTGGCTACCTGGGCTCGCTTGCCGACCCGCCCGCTAGGGTCTGCCGCCCGGTCCGCCCGTCTGGTTATACCAATAGTTTTCTGCTCCTAACCCCCCTCCTGCTGATTTCTCTCGTGCTTCATCCTTCTCTCCCCCTTCCATCCATCCTCTCCTCTCCTGGTTAAGGGGCTGCACGACATGCGCGTGGCATTCAAGGAAGGTATACCCCCAGGGGGTACTGTCGAAGACGAAAAGGACGAGAACCGAAGGCTTGGGAAAAACATGTTGAATGGTACTCGGGCTAATAGGGGCGAACAGTCTTAAACTGAGTGTTGTTGTTGCTGTCGTTTGTAATTGTTGTGTTTGTTGTTGTTGTTGTTGCTGATTTCCCATGTCTACAGAATACTTGTTGCTGATTCCCCAATCACCGTTATGCTCTTTCAAATCAAATGCTTCTCCCGAGAAATCGCGTTTCGCGTAGGACTTCCTCGCCATTTATGATCTGGCCGACTGGGTCCGCCTTCCCGACCCGCCTGTTAAGACTATTAAGGTCCACCCGCCCGATATGCCCGTCTGATTATACCAACTGTGTTCTGTTCCTGACCCCCTGTCCTGCTACTCTCTCCCGCGCGTCATCCTTATCCCCTCCTCATTCCCCTTTGTCCCTTCCTTCCGTCCGTCGTCGCCTGCTCTGCCTCAGGGGCTGCACGAAATAGTTTTGGAAGAAAGATATAAACCCCTAAGGGTAAGATCGAAGACGAAGAGGGCGGGCATCAAGGCTTTGGGATTTGCGTGTTGAATGGCACGCAAGCAAATGCAACCGAACAGGTTTAACATGATTGGTGTTGGTGTTGCTGCTGCTGTTGCTGTTGGTGCTGGTGTTGTTGGCGTTGTTGAACTCCCACTTCGAAATCATATGTATTGTTGATCCCCCCGCCCGGTGCACATTGTATGTTTTGCGATTGAAGTGCCCCTCCCGGGGCTCGCACAGTTTTTTGTCAAAAAAATAGGGGAAGTCTTGAAGGTCAAACTGTGTCGTTGGCCACCGGTTTACAACAACAACAACAACAACAACAACGGTTCCCGCCTGATACTTCCTCACCATTTTCTTGAAGAATCGCGCTCTCACTTGGTACTCCCTGTCGAGTTACCACCGAATCGCGGCTCCCGCCTGATACTTCTGGACAATGTATTGCAAAATCGCGTTCTCGCTTGCGACTTTCACGCAACTTACCACGAACCGCTTTTCTTTAAATTTCCCCACAATTGATTCAAATGCCAGTCCTCGAAACCTAAGACTCAAGAATCGCGCTCCCGCTACATATTGCCTGGCGGTTCAAGCAGGACTCACGCTTCAACGACCCGCCCGCTCGACCCGCCCGTCGGGGGCTGCCCGCCCGACCAGCCCGTTAATGACTGCAGTCGCCGCTTGCTGCCCTTCGCCCGCCTTCGATGCCCCTCGCTGCCCGTGCTGGTTCCGCGGTCGCCTTCGCTCGCTGCCCTTTGTGGCCCCGTTGCTGCCCTCACTGGCGCCGTCGCTGCCCTTTGTGGCCCCGCATTATATGCCTTT